TTGTTCAAGAAGGTGAAGCAGTTATGCTTCATCAGCTAACAAGTATTGAAATAAGAAATAAACATTAGAAATCCATGAGTTAATCTCTACTGATCATCTACTATCTGACCAGTCTTGCTCCAGCAGATCGTAGGGGATGCAGGATAAGTATGACATGGTCATTGATCTAAAAGGAGGTAAAATTACTTTTTACATGGTCTTAGTAATATAGAGGAAAGTAGTTGGGGCTTAGAGACAGAAGGCCTGAGTTCTACTCCTAGATCTGTAGTTAATATATTGTGGGATTCTTTAATATATCACTTGAATTTTAAATGAAACATGAGAAAACCTTCTATGACATCCTTGGCAAATGATATCTAGCATCTTCTCGAATGTTTCTAGAGACAGTTCAATCACCCAACAGCACAAACCATTGCACTTTAGGATGAGTTTCTTTTGTTGTTGTTGTTTTATTTTATATATAGATATAATACCTACTTCATGGAGTTGTTATGGAAATCAAATGAGACAGTAGCTTAATTTTCACAATAGGAAGACAAAAATACTGCACAAGGTAAAGGATTTATTCAATAACTTTAGGTATATTTAAGTATTTAGAGCTCATGCTCAGCATTGCTGTGGGCAGCTAGGAGGCACAGTGAGTAAAGCACCAGGCCTGGAGTCAGGAAGACCTGAGTTCAAATCTAGCTTCAGACATTTACTAGCTGTGTGACCCTGGTCAAGTCACATAACCTTTTTGCCTCAGTTTTCTCATCTGTAAAATAAGGATAATAGTGGCATCTACCTAAATTAACTTACTTATTCCACATCATACTAATCAAACCACCAAACAATTACTTTATAGAATTATGAAAATATTAAAAATTCATCTGGAAGAAGATAAGATCAAAAACATCAAGAGAATCAATTTTTCAAATGGGAAGGTAGTAGGTCTGGCAGTACCAGATCTCAAACTATATTAAAATGATGTAATTATTTTTAAAAAATGGTACTGGATAAGAAAGAGAGAAATTAATTAGGGGAATATACTAGGTACGTGAAATACAGAAACAACACAGTAACCAAGTCTTTAATAAAGTAGGAAAATTCTAGCTATTGGGGCAAGAACTCACTATTTGACAAAAACTGTTGGTAAAACTAGAAAGTAGTCTGGCAGAAACTAGGCGTAGATCAACATTACACCTTATATTAAGATAAGCTCAAAATGGGCGTATAATTTAGACATCAAGGGTGATATCATAAGCAAATTAGTGGAGCAGGGAATAAATTACTTGCCAGATCTATGGATAGTGGAAAAGTTCATGACCAAATGAGACAGAGATGTTTGCAAAAGATAAAATGGATAATTTTGATTACATTAAATTTTAAAAAGGTTTTGAACAAACAAAACCAATACAGTTAAAATTAGAAGAGAAGCAGGAAACTGGGAGCAATCTTTGCAGCAAGTTTCTCTCATAAAAGTCTCATTTTTAGAATATACCGGTGACTAAGTCAAATTTACAAGAATAAGTTCCATTCAAACAATTTGGAACTATACCCAAAGGGCTATAAAAACATGTGTACTGTTTGAATCAGCAATGCCACTACTAGATCTGTATCCCAAAGAGATCAAAGAAAAAGGGGAAGGACCTATTAGTACAAAAATATTTATAGCAACTCTGTTTGTGGTGGCAAAGAATTAGAAACTGAGGGGATGCCCATCAATTGGAGAATGGCTGAACAAATTGTGGCATATGGGAAATAGATGAATGACATACTGTTGTGCTCTAAGAAATGAGAAGCAGAATTGTCTCAGAAATACTTGGGAATATTTATAAGAATCGATGCAAGGTGAAATGAGCAGACCCAGGAGAACTTTGTACAAAAAGAGCAATATTGTTATGATGATCAGCTTAGAGAGACTTAGCTAATCGAGACAATGATCCAAGAGAATTTAAAAGGACCCATGATGCAAAATGCTATCCACCTCCAGAAAGAACTAATGAATTCTGGATGCAGATTGAAGCATGCTTTTTTTTTTTAAAAAAACTTAGGATCTTGTGTGTGTGTTTTCCTTTGTAACATGGTTGATATGGAAATATGTTTTGCATGACTTCACATGCATAATTGGTGTCATATTGCTTGCCTTCTCAAAGAATGATAGAGGAGCAGGATGGAGGAAGAGAATTTGGAATTCAAGCTTTCTTTTTACAATTAGTGTTAATTTTTACATGTAATTGAGAAATATTTAATGAAACATATAAAAATGCATTTAAAAAAGAATAACAGCCATTCCCTAATTGTAAATGGCCAAAGCATATGAAAAGGCAGTTTTCAGAAGAATAAATCAAAGTCACATAAAAAATGCTGCAAATCACCAATAATTAGAAGAATACAAATTAAAACAACTCTGAGGTACCATCTCACGTTCATCAGATTGGTTAAGATGACAAAAAAGGATAATTACAAATTCTGAAGGTGATATGGGAAAAGAGGTACACTAATGTATTGTTGGTGGAGTTGTGAACTAATCCAACCATTATGGAAAGCAGTTTGGAATTATCAAATTGCACATCTTCTTTGACCTAGAAATAGGGTTACTAGGGCTATACCCCAACAAACTCAAAGAAAGAGGAAAACACCCATATATACAAAAAATTTTACCAGCTCTTTTGTGGTAGCAAAGAATTTCACATTGATGAGATGCTCATCAGGGGAATGATTGAACAAGTTATGGTATATGACTGTGATGGAATCTTATTGTACTACAAAAATAATGGAGAAGGTTTCAGGAAAAAAAGCCTAGGAAAATCTTTATGAATTGATACGAAGTGAATGAGAACCAGAACAATCCACACAATAATAGCAATATTATAAAGATAATCAACTTTGAAGGATTGTGTAACTGATCAGCATAATGACTAACCACAGTTCTGAAGGACTTATGATCACACGCACTATCTGCCTCCAGATAGAGAAGTGATGGACTCACATTCTAGATTGAGGCATATTTTTAACCTTCCTTTTTCTTTCTTTGTTTTTTAATATGGTTAGTGTAGGGGGAGAGATAATTTTTAAAATGATGCTAAGGTGGAAAATTCTGAAAAACAGGGCAGGAAATAATACTTGAAAGTGCCTAGAACATTTGAATATAGAAAACAAATCACTGGTTCATCAAATCCAAAGATCACAATCAGGAAAAAAAAAACACTTAAAATTCCTTAGCAGGCAGTGGATAGATGTCACAATTTTAATAATGAACAATAAACTTTTCAAGCAGGCAGGAAAATTATCTTTAGGCATGAAAGAATGCCCATTTGAATAACCCAGGATTATCCTACAGTCACAAGAAATTAGTGGAAAGAATGGAGTCATATGTTCCAAAAAGCAAAGTTCTTCAACCAGACAACCAAAACAACATATCTTGTAAATTAGAGCTTAATAATTAACGAAAGTAAGAACCTTCAATAGAGAAACTTAATGCATTCCTGTAAAAAACAAAGAAATGAATAGAATATTCAATTTGTAAACACCCTTAACAACAGAAATACATAAAAGGTAAATTAATAAAATAATCAAAATTAAGTTATGCAAGCAATCCACTAGTCTTTGGAGGCTATTCTTTGCAATGGAGGAGTGTTTGTTTTTAAGGAGAGAATGAATTCTTATTTCTTTATTCACCTTGATCAATTCTTTCTTGCCCAACATGAAAGAGGAAGAAAGCAAGAAATTAGTCATTTAGATAAATTCGATGAACTTTGGGTAGGGCAGATAAAGAGGAATGGGGAAGAGAATATGAGAAAAAACTAATATCAAAGCATTCTAAGGAAAAGTAATAGTAGTGAGGGGATAAAATACAAAAGAAATAGAGAAAAACCGAGGAAATCAAACCTTAAATATAAATAGATTAAATAATCCAATTAAACAAAAAAGTGGAAGAATGGATAAGAAAATTAAACCCCCAAGTAAACACAAACTGGGTGGGAAGATAGAATAAAATATGCTAATTTATTGAAAACCATTTAAAGCAAAGTTATAGGAGACCAGTACTGTTTTAAAATGAGTGTACTCATTGTTAAATGGAAAGAAGGATTAAGGATACAATTGATTTCGCAAATTTTTTTTTCTGTAAAATCTTTATTTGACAATCCTAGTTAAGAAATGTCCCTACTTCTTTTTTACCATATAGATTTTATTGAAATTTCCCTTGATAATCACAAGCATCCAAACAGATATAATACAAACAGGGACAAAATGAAAACAGTAAGAAAAAAGATCAAATATAAAAAAGAAGAAAAAAACCTATTTTTAAAAAAATGTTGCAAACACTACTTGGATGCACAATTTTACAACTCAACCAATCAATACATTGCATGTTAGAGCGGGAAGTTTTAAAGGATCATTTATCCAGAGCCAGAAGGGGCCTTAGTGGTACAGTGAAATGGGCATTGGCCTAGAGTCACAGGACCTGAGCTCAAATTCTACTCTGACACTCACTACCTATATGTCTTTGAGCAAGTTATTAAGCCTTCCTGGGGCTCAGTTTCCTCATCTACAAAATGAGGAAGAATGACTTGATGAATTTTATCAATCTTTCCATTTCTAAGTCTATGAGTATAAATTATCTAGTCCAACATGGGGAATTGAGGCCCAAAGAGGTCAAGTGAATAGCAGTTTTGAACTCAGAGCTAATGATTCCAAAAGTAGTGCTATTTTCACTACACCACAGATATTAGAGATAACCTAGACCAACTCCTGAATTTTAGAGGTGAAACTGACACACAGGGAGAGTAATTCTCTCAAAGTCAAAATCCATAGTGGGGCTAAAATCTAAATCTCTTTAGACTTCCAGTCTAGCACTCTATTAAATCATATTACCTAAATAATTACATTTCCTTGTAAAAATCTTATTTTATTGAAATTTTCAAAATATTTTAATAATTAAGAATGTCTTTTACTGTTGACCAGTCTTCTTAAGGCATCTTTAATCTCCTTGTTCCTCAGGCTATAGATCACGGGGTTCAACATTGGATCACCACAATATAGAAAATGGATACCACTTTGTTCTGATCTGTAGAGTAGCTGGATGTAGGCATTACATAAATAAAGATAATGGTCCCATAAAACAGAGTGACTGCAGTGAGGTGAGAGGTGCAGGTGGAGAAGGCTTTGTGTCTTCCTTCTGTTGAGTTCATACTGAGAATGGTAAAGAAGATATATAGATAGGAGATGACAATGGTAACAAGAGCTATAGATATTATTACTGCTGAATAAATAGCAGGGAGTATTTCTGCTGCAAAAACATGATAACAGGAAAGCTTAACCAATGGAGAGAAGTCACAGAAAAAGTGATCGATTACATTGGGTCCACAGAAGGATAAATTCAGTAAGCAGCCAGTATAAGTTACCCCATTCAGACAACCACCTATATAGGAAATCACTATAAGCAGAAGGCAAACCTGGTCAGACATTTTCACAGAGTAAAGCAAAGGGTTACAAATGGCCATGTACCGGTCATATGCCATGGATGTGAGCAAGAAGGACTCTGTGGCCCCAAAGGTCACCAGAGAACACAGCTGGGTAATACAGCCAGAATAAGTGATGATATTTTCTTCCTCTAAAAAATTTGCGAGCATGTTAGGTGTAGCACCTGTAGAATACCAAAAATCAACAAAAGCCAAATGACTAAGAAAGAGGTACATGGGGGTGTGAAGCTGGGGACTCAGCCGGATTAAAATGATTGTGCAGAAATTTCCCATTACTGTGAATACATATATCCCCAGAAATAACACAAAAAAGATAATACAAAGAAGGGGATCATCTGTTAATCCCAGCAGAAGGAAGTTGGTGACTGCTGTGTAGTTTCCTGATGGCTTAGACTCATGTGTGATTCCTGGTATAACAAAGTGAAGATAGAGACTCAATAGGATATTTTATAAATAGGTTTCATTCTATTTTCCTCATTTTTAAATCAGATTAACTAATGACATTAATTTTGTTTATCTTTTCAAAGAACTAGTTTGTAGTTTTATTGGCTTTGAGCCTTTATTTATTCATTCATTCATTCATTCATTCATTCATTTATTTATTCACTCACTCATTTATTTATTTATATCTTTATTTCCTACTTTGTCTGTTTTTAAATAATTTCCAAGATTTCCTCGGTTGTGCATTTTTTTTTGGTTTATTTACCGAATTTCTATTTTTAATTCTATGTTTAGTTAGCTTATTTTTTCCATATTGTCAACATGTACTGTCCAGGGTGTAGTTTTTTCATCTGATTATCATTTTAGACTTATCCCAGTAATTCTGGTATGTTATCTCATCACAGTTTTCTTATTCATGGCCTACATCTTTATTTGTTCCATTTCTTATTTAATATATTTTATTTCCCAAAATTACATGGTAAAACAATTTTTAACATTTCTGTTTTTTAACTTTTGAGTTCAAAATTTTATCCCCCTCTCTCTCTTTCACTCTCCCCTCCCAAGACAGTGAGCAATCAGATATTGTACAAGAAGACTAGAATAAAAAAGAATGAAAGAAAGTGAAAACAAAATTTGTTCCATTTCTATTCCCTCTGAGACTCACATGAAGTTGACACTCTAGAAATACTATCTTTGAGCTCCCCTTTCTACTCAGTTTCTTTGTTATTGCCTCAATAGGTCTTGACTCATCATTCCTTTTTTCTTTCTTTTTTCTTTTTTAAATATAAATTTATTTATTTTTAGTTTTCAACATTTACTTCCACAAGATTTTAAGTTCCAAATTTTCACCCCAGCTCAATCCTCCCCCCACCCCAAGATGGCATGCATTCTGAATATCCCTTCCCCTAGTCTGTCCTCTCTTCTATCTCTCCCCCCTCTTCTCTTATCCTCTTCCCCTTCTATTTTCCTATAGGCAGGATAGACTTCTGTACCCCATTTCCTGTATTTCTTATTTCCCAGTAGCATGTGAAAACATTTTTTTTTAAACACATGTTTTTAAAACCTTAGGTTTCAAATTTTCTCCCTTCCTCCCTCCCCATCCACCCTCATTGAAAAGGCAAGCAACTCAATATAGGTTATACATGTGCAGTTATGCAAAACACTCCCATAGTAGACATGTTGTGAAAAACTTACTCTGTTTCCCTTAATCCTATCCTGCCCTCCCATTTATTCTATTTTTTCTTTCCATCCTGTCCCTCCTTCTGATTACCTCCTTTCCCAATCTGCCTTCCTCTCTATCACCTCTCTGCTCTCTTGTCCCCTTCTCCCCCTATTTTCCTGTAGGGTAAGACAGATTTCCATACCCAATTGAATGTGTATGTTATTCCCTCCATAAGCCAAATCCTATGAGAATAAGATTCACTCATTTCTTTTTTCTATTGTGCCTTATTCTTAGAGACATCAGTTCATGAGAGAAGAAATGTCAGAGGGAGGCAATGCCCTGATGCAGAAGCTTCCTTGTGTGCCAAATCTAGTTGCCCATCCACAACCTGATAAGTATCCTTCCCAAAGGTTATGTCATCTAGTCCCAAGCTCTATCCTACCCTGTTCCCTCCATCATCATAGTCTGAGTAGTGGCTGCGCTTAGGATCTTACTCATCCATTCTACAATTCAGAGGTTCTCTACTCTTTTGTGTCATGTACTGCTAACCTTTCTCAGAATGACATTTGTTGCCTACATTCATAAATTAAGGAAATGAGAAATTTCAGTTAGAGGTTAGTAAAAATAACACATCCAAGTTTACAGACCCATTAAAATCCATCCACAGACACAATGGGGTTTGGTAGACTCCCCATTCAAGATACTCCCACTTACCTTCTTCTAGAGCTAAATGTTGCACAAAGAGACACACCACTCTCTTAGAGGAAGTAGCTTTGTAGTGAAAATATTTCCTCCAACTAAATCTACCATGAGTTCCCCACCTCCCACTACAGATACAGCCCTCTGCTCTTATGGGAAAGTTATTCAACAGCACCCCATCCTTCCCTCTGGGGCAACCCTTGCCCCATGCAATCCTCATTTCCAGCTCCTTCTCTTCGTCCCCTGTCCCTTTTAAATGTAAGATAATAGGAACAACCATCCCCTCACAAGGAGGATGGTAGAGGTGCATTTGTCCACCATTCATATAATGTCTGATTGTGCAACTCCTTCTAATAAAGATAGTCACCTATGGGAAGTCAGGGAATATGGTGAATGGTGCATAAGTTCAAATCTACTTTGACTCTCCTGATTTTTTAAAGTTAAATGAAAAATGAGATCACATCAGAGGAGAAATAAAAAAAATTATCAAAACTGACTATACACCATGAAATATAATATTCAACCTCTCCTTGCCTAGTGGTCTGCCTTCACATATTTTTATCTCCCTCATCTTTAAAAAATCTTTTCACTAGAACCTACAATTTCTTCAAGCTACCAACCTGTATCTTTCTCTCTTGCTTAACCAAACTTCTAGAAAAAGTTGTCTACAATATCTCTCTACAGAAAAGGACCCACATGTACAAAAATATTTATAGCAATTCTTTCTGTGGTGGCAAAGAATTGGAAATTAAGGGGATGCCCATCAATTGGGGAATGGCTGAACAACAGGTGGTATATTAATGCAATGGAATACTATTGTGTTATAAGAAATGATGAGCAGGTGGGCTTCAGAAAAAACTTAGAAAGATTTGTACGGACTAATGCTGAGTGAAGTGAGCAGAACCAGGAGAACATTGTACACAGTAACAGCTATGTTGTACGATGACTAACTTTGATAGACTTAGCTCTTCTCAGCAAGGCAAGGATCTAAGACATCTCCAGAAGTCTCAAGATGGAAAATGCTATCCACATGCAGAGAAAGAACTATGGAGTTAGAATGCAGATCAAAGCATACTATTTGTTTTTATTTTTTCTTCTGTTTTGTTTCCTCTTTCTTATGGTTCCTCCTATTGGTTCTAATTCTTCCTTACAACATGTGAAGATAGGTTTAATAGGAATGTATATGTACAGTCTATATCAGATTGCATGCCATCTTAGGGAGGGAGGTGAGGAGGGAAGGGGAGAAAAATTTAAAACTCAAAAGCTTATGGAAGTGATTGTTGAAAACCAAAAATTAATTAATTAAAAATTTTAAAAAAAACACAAAAAAGAATGAAAGACAAACCACAGAATAAAATCAAATCAAATCACAAACAGAAAAAATCTCTCTCCACTTTCTCTCCTTTCATTCACTCCCTAACCCTTTTCAATCTGGCTTCCAGCCTCATCACTTAACTGAAACTGTTCTCTTCAAAATTTCTAGTGATCTCTTAATTGTCACATCAGATGGTCACTCTGCATGTTTTCACAAGCTGTGTCCTAGCTCCACGTATCCTTTCTCTATACTCTTTTGGCGACCACATCAGCATTCAGGCATTTATGATTCTCAGATCTATACATACAATTCCAGCGTCTCCTTGCTGATCTGTAGTCCCCTGCCACTGAATGCCTATTTGACATTTCAAATTGGATATCCCAGAGACATCCCAGACTCAACATGTTCAACATAAAACTCATTCTATTCCCCCAAAATCCCACCATCTTCCAAATCTCCATTTGTGTCAGACAGTCTCCAAGATTCCAACCTTGGTACTACCCTCAACTCCTCATTCTCCCTTACCTCACATGTCACAAATGCCAAATCTTGCTACCTCTACCTCTACCACAGAGCTGTGATCCAATATCCCTTTTCTTTACATATATAGCTATCATATTAGATCACACTCTAATCACTCCCCAATTAGATTACTAGAGGAACTTCCTAAATGATGTCCCTGTCTCAAGTCTCTCCCCACTTCATTCCATCCTCCAACCTGCTGCCAAAGTAATTTTATTTAAATATATATCTGAACATATCATTGCCCTACTCAACAAACTCCAATATTTATTTTTGCCTCTGGAATGAAATATAAACTCCTCAATTTAGCTTCTTAAAGACCTTTTCAACCTTTCTACAATTCATGTTTCAGGCTTAATTTTAAATGACTCCCCCAGCCACACTACACTATCCAGGCAAACCGGCCTGTCCCTCGTGTTGTTGTCAGGCCACTTCAGTCATGTCTGACTCTGACACTATTTGGGGTTTTCTTGGCAAAGATATTGGAGCAGTTTTGCCATTTCCTTCTCCAGCTCATTTTATAGATGAGGAAATTGAGGCAGAGTTAAGTGACTTGTTCAAGGTCACACAGCTGTAAGTCTCTGAAGTCAGATTTGAACTTATAAAGATAAGTCTTCCTATCTCCATGCTCAGCACTCTGAATCACCTGGTTACCCCTGATGTACAACAATGCATCTCACAAATCCATTCCTTTGCACTGGCCATCCTCTATAGTTACAACATACTTCCTCCATTTCTCTTCCTCATAAAATCCCTCCATCCCTTCAAGATGCCACTGAAGATGCCATTCCTGATCTTCTCAACTGCTAGTGTTCTCCCTCTAAAAATACTCAAATTTAATGAATTTGCCATTATTTGTATTTCACACATTCTGCATATATTTATATTTGCTGTTGTCTCTTTCATTTGAATATAACTTCCTGACAACAGAGATTGTGTATTCATTGTATTGTATTCACAGGGCCTGGAACATTGGCCCAGAAAAGGTGCTTTATAAATACTTTTGATGGATTGGTTAACATACCAGACTAACTGAAAATTTAAACAAAATAGAGGATTACCTACAAAAATTTTAGATGCTCAAATTAACAGAACATGAAATAGAGAGCATAAATATCAAATTAAACTAGTTTA